AAGTTCAAATTTGTTGTCAGTCTAAACACATTTATATTGAAACACACTCATACAAACTATTATTATTTTACATTTGTTCTGAGCTTACGTTGTATTTAATTTATCTTTCCATGATGGGTGCATAATTCATTATTACCTAGGTCTTTTATAAAAAAACTACTTTGAAATTTATCTTGATTGTATCTGTTGACACTATTGACATAATAACTAATTACTTTAGAGAAATTGTGATCTAAGCTATGTACGCACGAGAAACATATTATTGACAACTTATTCACAACTGCACATGCCAAAATAATGAAACTTTTAAGTAATTGCTGTTTTAAGCTAGAATGAGCAATTCCAATTATTCTAATAATACACAATTTCATGGTATTTTAAGACTAGAGTCGCGACCACGTTAGTTTGCAGTTGGTGGCAGCCAATCACAAGACAAGGCTAGTGCGACGTTGCCACATCGCACTAATAAAATATACTAAGCAATGTTTTCAAATCAGCTGGTATTATTAGATTTGGCAACAACGCACGGTTCTCATTGGTTCATTCAAACCCTTATGGTAAATAGGCTCCTCCCTCAACTGCAAACTTATGTGGTCCCGACTCTAATACTTTCTGAGATTTAAAAACTACCTATCTCATGACTTTGAAAATTCGTAAAATGTAAACCAAACGTCAGAACCTAATAAAACTTTAATACAAAATGAATTAATGCTTGTTTTGAAGGTCATTGTATTTATTTTGTAAATATTCATAATGCTAAGGCACAATGTTACGCATATTATTGATATTAAATTAACAAACAATATTAGTTGCGCTCGCCACAAGGGCTCCTCACGCTCACAGCTAGTGAAGTAAAAGATCGATAAGACCGCCGCTGCGCGTGCGTAGGTACGGAGTCGCGTCTTTAGTAGTAGTTTGTTTACACGATGTTTTCAGAAAGGCGCGCATAATGACCCCGCGCTACCCGCCCGTCCACACCACCTCCCCCCCAAGGCTATCCCCCCAAAACGGAATTACACCTAGGGTGATGAAGACTCTTAACAGAATGCAATCAAATTTTTTTAATTAAAAATTTAAATTGTTTTTCAGTTATATACAATATGGATCATTAAGTATTTACATGACTTACTAAATAAGTTTGAAAGTACCTAATGATAGTTTTTCACTTATGTTACAGGAAATTATAGAGTCAACATAATTGTGCCAGAGTCCATTTATGAAGAAAGGAACAATGTTCAAGTAATGCCTGAAGCTGAAATTGTTTCAACACTCAGTAGTGACAACCATTTTGACACAGTGTTCAATAATGAACTTCAAACTACTGACAAATCACAGAGTAGTTTAAATTTGAGTGACTTGAGTGTTTGAGAGGTGCCAAATTTAGACCATACATATTGTTCTGTTCCGATCCTGTACAACCCAAATGAAGAAATTGAGATGAACACGTCTAACGTAGCGGATGATTCTATTGCAGGGAGTTTAATTTCCAATGCAGACTTAAATTATGAGTTGTGTATTAATCCTGATTCTGAAATTATTATCGAGACGGAAATCCCTCAAAATGAAGACTCTAATCAGAGTGACGAGGGACGACCTCTAAGAAAGGTAAAACTATCACCATCAGATTGGAAAAGACAAAAAAACAAAAGATTAAGAATGGAGGGCTTGCCATATTTAGGATTTTCTAAACCGAAAGGAGAAAAAAGTAGACATGATACACCCCGTGATGGAAGGAAAATAGGAGTGGCCTGCAAATCACAAAAGTGTGTTCAGGCAAAAAATCGGAATTGTGAAAAATTTACGGAGGAAGATAGAAAAGAAATATTTTCCAAATTCTGGACTGAAATGAATTGGGATCAACGGAAAGTGTTTGTCGCAAACTTGGCCCAAAATGTAGATAAGAAAAGAAAAATGACAAAAGAAGAAATTTCAAGAAGGGAACCAAGCAGAGAGTTTCACCTTTTTCTAAGAAACGAAAGGTTCCAAGTCTGTAGGACTATGTTTTTAAATACTTTAGGGATCAAAGCTTGGACAGTGAGGCAGTGGCTTGCTAATTCAAGTGGAAGTGGTATCCACAAATGCAAGGAGGTTCAAAATAGAAGCAGGCGAAAAAATCCTCAAAGGAGGAAACCTTCAAAAGACTTTGCATACGAGTTCTTGCAGTCCTTGCCTACACTCCCCTCTCACTATTGCCGAAGTTCGTCGACAAAAATGTACTTAGAACAATACCATACTTCTCACTCTGGACTGTACCAGGTATACACGGAGTTTAGTACTGTAATGAAAAAAATATCAAACCAGTTGGACGAAAACTATTCATGGAAGTTTTTCAGGAACTGAATCCTGCTTTCTATGCACCTAAAAAGGACAAATGCGATGTCTGTTGTTCTTTTGAAGTGAATCAAATTGACAAAGAAACTTTTGACAGGCACATTCTGAAAAAGAACCGAGCTAGAGAAGAAAAAAACAACGACAAAGACAACCTAAATAAAGATAAGACAGTAAAGGAGATTAGACATCACGTGTTTACTATGGACGTTCAAGCGGTGAAAATCAGCCCTTGCCTTTACGCCAGTGCCCTATACTACAAAACCAAGTTGAACTGCCACAATTTCACTGTTTACAATCTTTCTACTCATGATGCCACTTGTTACTGGTTTAACGAATCAGAAGCTGATTTGTCTGCTGACACGTTTGCGAGTTGTGAGGTTCACGCAATAAGAGAAGTGACAGAAAAGGAAAAACTTCCAGTGATTTTATATTCAGATGGATGTACGTATCAGAACCGTAATAGTATTATGTCAAATGCCCTGATTCATTCAAGTAAAGAATTAAATATCGACATCTACCAGAAATTTTTGGAAAAGGGGCACACCCAAATGGAGTGTGATTCAGTGCATAGCACAATTGAACAGAGCCTAAAAAAGAAATTTATTTTCCAAGCGATTACATAAAATGCACAAGGGATGCTCGAACAAAACCTTCACCATACAAAGTATTTGAAGTGGATCACACTTTTGTAAAGAAGTACTCAGAATCATCAACCATGGTATATTCATCAATTCGTCGTGGACTTTCTGCCGGCGATCCAACGGTGACAAATCTTCGAGGTCTATGGTATAAGCCCGATGGAACAATGCTCTATAAACTGGACTTTGACGAAGATTGGAAACTTCTGCCAAGAAGACCAAAGAAAATTAGTTTTCCGATCACTTTCAACCTTCTCCATGAAGACAGGCTAAAAATAAAACCGAAGAAATATCAGCATCTTCAAGAGCTCAAAGTCGTTCTGCCGAGTGACTGCCACGCTTTCTATGATAACTAACATACTGAGCCTTTAAACATGTGTTTCAATTGCATAGTACATTCCTTTTTAATACGATATTGTAATATGAGCTTGTTTGTAATAGCGTTTTTTTTCAAAGGTCAAAATATTTTTAGTTCTTATTTTAGCATAATAGTGTTATAAAATGTAAGCCAGGAAGTTCCGTAAAGAACTGGCATTTTCCATTCAAAAAACGTACATGTCAATAAAACAAATAAGCCTTATTAATGGTCAACATTTTTTATTGTTTTTGCCCTAAAGATTAAAAAAATAGGAATTGAACCATTAATAAAAGAATTAATTTTTTTAGAATAAGTTAAAACATTACTCAGACATTTATATCTTGCAGAGTCATTTTACTACTTGTAAATATAAGTTTTGACATAAAATAGGCCTACTTATCCTTATAAAATTCGTAGGAAATAGTTTGTTTTGTTATTGGTAGTAGCAGAATTTAATTTCAAATCTAGAAAAGTAATTTACATTAGCAATTTAATCCAAGGCAGTAATGCCTATGTGATATAAAAATATGGCAGTATCGCCTAAGTGACACAATTTAATAAATAATTCACTTCCTTAAATTTGTTTAACTTAATAGTGTTATAATACATATTTCAGATATAAGTAAGCAACTTATATGGCTTTGGAATGAAAAAAAAGCGTCTGTGGTTTAGTTTTTTCTTCCTCCTGTAAACTTTGGAATTCATCACATGGGCGGTATTGCTTGCGCAACGACGATATTGAATTATTTTATACAATAAGAGTGAATAAAAATTGTAAAATCTACCCTTAAATAAGAGTGAAACATTGAGTTGATTCCAGTGCACTCAAACGTTACCAATAAGAAACACTCCCTCTATTTTCTTCTATGTCGAGTAATCTTCTACACTGATCTTTGCTCAATATTTACAACTGATGTTTTTCCCTTAGTACTGTATTTTGTAATTTGCTAGTATACTAGTAGATAGCTTGTAAGCACATGTTACAAAATCGGTAAATGTTAAAAGAGCGGAAGTCCAGGAATGTAAATTTTTGGGAAACTGGAAAAAAGTGTGCTAAATTTAGTAAAAATCCTTCTGCTGGATTTCGAGATATAAATTACACACAAACAGACTTAGCTCGTTTTATAGTATAGGATATATATTTGTCACTATTATTGATTATATTTATATATGTGTCTAACGGACTAAATGAATTTGAACGGAGAGTGTTTTGACCCAAAACAAAAAAGCAAATCGGTCCTGGGTTCAGGTCTTACCATGAGACCTACGGTAATAGATTAAACATATTATGGAAGTTGTTCACGATTCTACCGGGACCACAGCAGATGTTATTTTTCATGGGCTAAAGGAGTTTCGGCTAAAGGAGTTTCATTAGCATTTACACAAGGAAATACTGTATGTTGCTAGGTGCCTAGACTCATCTTAATTATTTGTCTTAAATCCATATTACAACAAAATGGCAGTAAAATCAAGTTCCCGGTGAAATTTTAAAATTCACGCATAATTCCTGTGTGAATAGCTCCTTTTGAATAGAGAGGGACCCAAGAATTGCATACCATGAGTCCTTGACCTTTCCTGGCTAGATGTCCCAGTTAATAGCGAATGGATTATCAAGACTGTACTGAACCTGCAAATCCTCTTAGTGAAGGGCTAATGTGTTGGTGTGTATGTACCTGCATCTGTGTGTCTCCATGTCGTAGTCTCAGTACAGCCACTAGAGATAGTTCACTGTTGGCCTTCACATAGCCATTTTTCTCCTTGGTGCCGTTCACCAACATTGGTAGTGCCGCCTTGAGGAACTCCGGTGCCAAGTCGGCACCCAGTGTTCGAGCCAGGTGAGTACACACTCGCGCCACCAACTGCTTTACCTCATTATTGGTGTGGTTCATTGTCTGTGGGTCAAATACAGGAAGTAATGTAGTTGCTATTTTACAAAATTACTTATGCTAATTCAAGGATGTAACATAGAGCACAAGAGCCTAAGTTCTTAGAAATTTTAGCGAGAAGAAGGCTTACCTGAATGGGAAAGTGTCCAAACTGGCAAAAGAAACACATTACTTTACACTACACATAAACCATTAGAATATCTCAATGACACTGACAGCATCTTATCTTAACCAAGAGTTGTCCTTCTTACCTCAGAGACAGCCAAAGAGCAGGTGATTAGCTGTTTCCTCTGAACTACCATATTTCCTGCATAGTGGTACACTAACGGAGCACCCATACATTGCAGTTGTTTTCTGACCCCGCCCATGTCCGGTAATCAGTTCTAATGTTTGTCTGATTCTTCGCCTAACCGATTTTAGAATTTCTGAGGCAACCCGTTTTTTAAAGTGTATGAAGAATTGCACAACCAAACAAATTAGTCCTACTAAACTCATCTTAATTATTTTATGTTAATTGAGATGCATAATGCTAACAACCACATTCAGCTAATTTGATTTTCTAGCTTACTTGAGTTTTCTTCAGAACTAATCCTTAGGCAGTTAGACCTGAAGAAAACTCTCTCTTTCTTAGTTGAACATTCTGTGAGTGCCATTAACATATTCTAATGTTTTGTGTATATTGTAAAATTCTGTATTTCTTGTGCAAGTTTGAACACTTCTCCATTCAGGTAAGCCTTTTCCTATTCAATTCTACATTCAGGGTGTCTAGTTAATTTCCATTATAAAATTCAAGACTAATTCCAAACTTTTCAAGACTAATTCCAGATTTTCAAGACTAGTTTTTCAACAATTAGTGGGTGTTGATACCAAAATGTATCAATTCTCGATTCTTGATACCGATACCAATTTTTATAGCTTATGAAATCTTCCGCGTACCGTACTTTTAGACATCATCACTGACTGCAGCGGTTACAGAAACGTGATCGTCGTCGTCCGCGATCACGGCAAAATCATGAATATTTCACACGGCCTTGTAGACATCAATGACATCTATGTCATCTCCCGCAGTCACGGAAACGTCATCTTCGTTGTCCGCGATCGCGACAAAATCATGAACATTTCCTGCGGCCGAGCAGATATCATTGTCGTCTCCCGCGGCCACGGAAACGTCATCGTCATCTCCTGCGGTCACGGAAACGTCATCGTCGTCGTCCGCAATCGCGGCAAAATGATGAACATTTTCCGCGGCTGTTTAGACATCACTGTCATCTCTCGCGGTCACGGAAACGTTATCGTTGTCGTCCGCGATCACGGCAAAATCATGAACATTTCCCGCGGCCGTGTAGACATCATCGTCGTCTCCCGCGGTCACGGAAACGTCATCGTCATCTCCCGCGGTCACGGCAACGTCATCGACGTCTCCCGTGGTCACGGAAACGTTATCGTCGTCTCCCGCGGTCACGGTAACGTTATCGTCGTCCCCAGCGGTCACGGAAAGGTCATCGTCATCTCCCGCGCTTTTAGAAACGTCATCGTCGTCGTCCACTATCGCGGCAAAATAGTGAACATTTTCCGAGACCGTGTAGACATCATCATCATTGGCTTTCGCGGTTACATAAACGCAAGACGACAATCGCGGCAAAATCATGAAAATTCCCGACTTTATGAAATCAAATTTAAGACTAAATCCCGACTTTTCAAGACCATTTTGAAATTCAATACTAATTCCCAACTTTCCCGATTTTCCCGACTACTAGACACCCTGTACATTAGTTTCTAACGACCTTAAAATACAGAAAAAAATACTAGCTTACAAGCATACCAATAAGTTCATTAAATTCTATTTTGTAGCCCCTGAACTGCAAAGTATAGACTAAACTAAAACATACCAACATAAAACATATCAAGACCCCTGGAACTTATCCTAGCCCAGATAAACCCCCGTCACCAGACTGTCTATCCTGGTACAAACCCTAACCTATTTCTATTCCTCTAGCTTTGAAAAAAATAGGTTACAAAATGGCTGAATGACTGAATTTCCATACCTCGTCTTGCAGTTTAAATAGTGTGTTTTAATCCACTACATATGTTTTGCCATATTTGCCATTTTCAAGTGGTATACAGAAACAGTATAATATCTGAATTGGACTTGTCAATGGTAATGGTAATGGTAAATTAAATTTCAATTCCCATACAATATTCAATACTCCATAGCTCTGGACGCCGAGACTTCTTAGTTTTCCTGCCAGTTCTGTCTCTTGTCAGTGCCGTGATCAAGTTCCAATAAGTGTTGTAGGCCTACATGTAAATTTTTTTGTTCGTACGTTTATACATTTTTATGTTTTATGGAAATGGAAATTCGCTTAGTCGGCAGGTTTGCTGCAGTGGGGGTATTTGATTTTTTGCTGTTAGATCTTAATGTGTATAGAATGGCTCAGAGGTCTAGTAAACCATCCTTATATATAATACGTGAAGGCTATTTCTACGAAACACTACTCCTCCGTTAATAATGGACGGATTTTTACAAACAAGGTGTCATAATTAAGTATTTGTTGTGTAGACTCCCCCTTTCACCAATTCCTGCAATAAAAGTCCTCGGGCTTTGTCCCACAGGCCATCAAAATCCCAATGTATTTCTTATGAAGGAAAGATTTTGTTTAGTTAAACAAACAGATGAATAATTTGTATTAATTGCAGCTATTCATAATACACACAAACCGTTCGTTTTCAGGGTGAGTTTGTTTTTAGTTTCAATAACTGGAGTAGAGTGAGCATTTATTTTCAGAGTGAGTTCGATTTCAGTTTCGATAAGTAGACTGGAGTTACTTAGCGATTGCTCGAATTCGAGCAACAGGTGAACTAGTCATTACTATTAGTCACATGACACATACATGTGAATGGTACAAATGGTAACTGAATATGGTTAAACACTATTAATCAGTTGACTCTAAACAGTTAAACTGAATGGTCTTTTGAAATAACTAGTACTAATTAGAGCTTCAACATTAGCATCTTCACTTTTTAATAAATTACAGAAAGAAAATGGATTACCATTTGATTAGGAAACATATAAATGACAAAAAACACTTACCCGGCAATAGGGAGAGAGGAGTGTTTGTGGTATTTTAATGTTGTTTTTCATCATGTGTTGAAACAGGTAGCCTAGTCCTCTGACTCCATTCATTACAATAGGAACCTATAATATGAGACAGTTGAAAGAGTTAGATATGGACCTGGATAATGAGGCATTCAGATAGGTAAGATATAGACCCGGAATATGAGGTAATTAGGCCAATAATATGTATGTAATAAGATATAAATAATATATATGTCAATAATAATATATCAGGATATATAGACAATAGACAAAGCTTAATTGTACATGACGCCTGATACAACAATTAATTTACAAAAGTAATTCCCAAGCTGGTACATGGTCAATTTATATCTAGGTTCCTTGATCTAATTATACCCTAACAAGAGTAAAAACTATTTAAATTTATCTTTAAAAAACGTCTGAATTTTGTAATACGCTTTCTGGCTCAAAGTCTCTTTCAGCTTATAAGTAAAATTTGGTTGTTGATAAAGTTCTGTATGAATTAGGTAAATGATTGTTGATTTTTAATCCAATGTAAAGAGGCCCAGTTTCAAATTTTGTGTACGAATGTTGGGATATTGAAAAGTTTTGTTATTATTTCTCGTTATAATTTATTTTATATTTTTCATAAAAGAAAGGATTCGCATGAACATACTTTGCTATTTCAAATATATAAAGAGATGGTAATGTTAAAATGGAATGTTTTTTTAAAAAAGGTTTAAAGTTTTTTTAGACTTCTGGTGAAAAATAGTTCTGAGAATGGACTTTTGGCAAGTGAACACTTTCTTGGCCTCTGCAGAGTTACCCCATAGAGTGACGCCATAAGCCAACAAAGAATGAACATATGCATGATATACTGTCAAGCAGACTTCTATCAGCGTGACCTTGGATAGAACACTCAGTGAATACCTTGTTGACCTTAATTTTTTATTTAGATGATGAATGTGGTCGGACCAACTTAATTTTGAGTCCAAATTTAGACCTAAAAACTTAACAATTTTTGTATTACTGATTGTGGTGTGTGTAACTCTGTTTCTGAGTTTAAATTGAAGAATATTAGTTTTACATTCATTTAATTTCAGACCATGGCTCTCAAACCACTCATTGATTTTTTTAATTGCGCTGTCAAAAGTTAATTTAAGTTCACTTAGTGTTTTTCTTTTTAAAAGAGCAGTTGTGTCATCGGCATACAAAGTGAAAGCTCAGGAATTTGTGGAAAGGCAATTTGGAAAGTCATTCATAAATATAATAAATAATAAAGGCCCAAGCATGGAACTTTGTAGAACACAACGATGTAAAGAACTACTGGATTGCGCTCTCAGTAGCACTGCGGGCGGTGTTTGCGGTCTCGCTCCCCCCACCATCTACTGGCAGTAGCCGACGCAGCCCATACACTCACCATTGTAAAACGCACTTTTTTAAGTTGCTGCTCTGTTGAAATATATAGATATAAAATATTGCTAATGTATGCCAAACCCTTTTTACTATTCTAAACTTAATGTCTTCTTCTTTTCTTGCAGAAAATGACATATTTGAACTCTTAAAAACCCAACTACATCTGTCCAGTTTTTACCGCAGATCTATGCTTGACATTAACGTAATAGGCCTACTTTTTTCTTTCTCTTTTGTGACCCATTTTGTAAGATACATTGTCGTTACACATTGAAAGAAAAAAATATCTTGTTTACGTCAATCATAACGTTACGTCTGAGGCTAAAACTTAGCAAAATTATACTAATTGTTTATGTACAATTTTTTGTTTCATAAAATATGGTTTCAATTATGAATATTGCACTTTCTATTTCTTCTTTGTAATCACTTATTATTTTACCATGTACGATATGAAATTAGCAATATCAGTTGTCTAAAAACATCTAAAAATCGGGTTTAGTGAATTTGTAGCTTTTAAAGAATTCATATGGGCTATTTTCTGCAAGAAACAAAACAGACATAAAGGTTTAGATATTTAAAAGAGTTTGACAAGCGTTAGCAATACTTTATCCCTATATATTTCAACACAGCAGCAATTAAAAATGCGCGTTTTATAATTGCGAGTGTATGGGCTGCGTCGGCTTCTGCCAGTAGATGGTGGGGGAAGCTAGACCGCGCGGCCAACACTGAGCCAGTAATCCATGAGTTGTTTATATCGTTGGTAGAACACCATATGTAACGCTGGCCCAGTTAGAATAATATTTTATTGATTTTTTTATTACTATTGTGCGTTGTACCATATATACCATTTCTGACCAAAACGACAGTCCATACCAATCCATAGTCCCCTCTTAGCCTGCCTAAAAATATGTATTTATATTAACATTAACAGTAGACTAAAAAAAGTCTAAATGTGTTTTTTCCTTGTGTGCTACTACAAGCAAGTTGACCATCTACGCAGCCAGTGAGAACTCTTATCCTGCACAGGAAAAAGCACATGTGATAATTTTTCTATTCCTACATTGTATTCCTGCTTTCTTTACTATTGTAACAAATAAGATTTATTTGATATACGAGGTCTATTAAAAAAGTATCCGACCTTACTTTTTATCTAGAAATCCAACAACCACATTCAGCTGCAACCTGGACTACTCAACAGACATGGCACCGCGTGACTTCTAGCTGTTCCCTACCTTGAAGATGCTGCTTAAAGGGACCCGATTTTAGAGCAGAAATGAGTTAATGCAAAATGTAGCAGCTCGTCTGGAGTCCATTAAGAAGGAAGAGTTTCAGGCTTGTTTCCAAAAGTGGAAGGAGCGCTGGAATCAGTGTGTGAAGGCCCAAAGGGACTATTATGAAGGAGATTACATGTTAAAACATATTTATCAATAAAATATGCGTTTCCTGAACAAGGTCGGATACTTTTTGAATAGACCTCGTAGTTTTCAGTCAATATGTGCCAAAAACCGAACATCAAATCTCTAAACCATAAAAACTTAAGAAAAGTGTTAGTCTTAAGATTCGATCGGCAGATTTTGAGATTCAAAACTAGGTATTGATCTCATATTTATGTTATTCAGTCAGTGTCAGAAGTTGAATTACTTTTCATGTTTGTTGTTTATATTTGTCATATGCTTAAATAATCAGATGATTATTGTTGATATTATTGTTATTGTTTACATTTTATCTTTTGTGTTGAATTAGTTTTGGAATAAAGTTTACTAATTAATTTACATGTATTTTGTATATTTTATGAAGATATATCAATGGCAACGAGTGATAAAAGTGAAAATGAAACTAGAAAATTAAAACAGCAAAGAGGAATCATAAAATCACAAATTACAAGGACTTTACATGTGCTGAAAACTAAAGGTTCATCTATATACGATGCATTGGGCAGACAAACTCTACTGGATGAAACGTGGAAAAGATTCACCGTGTTACATGAACAGATTATAACAACTACAGACAATGAAGATGAAATTGAAAGAGAAGAAGATTATCGTACAGATGTAGAGGAAACATACCTCGAGGCAAGAGCTTTATTACAACCATTCTTTGTCACTATTAAGCAAACAGAAGTTGAAAGGAATGTTTCTAGCGAATTAAATGATCCTTATAAATTGAACATACCGAATGTGAGTTTCACACCCTACACAGAAAATGAAACCTTTCGGAATTTCCTAATGCGGTTTAAAAATTTCTTGGATCTAAAACAAATCACAGAGCCGAAAACCAAAACACAACTGTTTGTTAGTACTCTTACATCCGAAATGCATCAGGCATTATGTGACACAATTGCTCCTGAGACACCAGGTGACAAATCGTATGAAGAACTATCAGATATACTGCAAAACTGTTTGGAACCTACTCCAAGTGTACTTGCTAATCAAAATAGGTTCATCAGTAAAGTTCAAGATACTGAAGAGGGAATTTCTACGTACGCTCGAGAATTAAAACGTTTGGCAATTGACTGTGACTTTAAGTGTTACAACTGTGAACATTCAGTTTGTGATATGTTCTTGAAGATGCAATTCATTCGAGGATTAAGAGATAATGAAGTGAGAGTTAGGCTTCTTCAGGAAAAAGGAAATAAACAATCATTTAAGGAAGTGGTAGAAATGGCTATTTTTATTGAACAATCCAAACTGGAAAGTTATGCAATGAAACCTAAGTACTCTCATTACGTTACAGAACAAACTAAAGATGTTAACTATGTGAGTAAACAACCTGGGTTAACAAGAAAGAAGAGAAATGAAATCAAACCGCATATTACCTTTCAAGATTTAAGAGGTAAATGTTACAGATGCGACAGTGCTCAACATAAAGCTGATACTTGGAAGTTTAAAAATGAATTTTGTAGGAAGAGTAATAAGATCGGACACATTGCAAATGTTTGTCTTACACGCAATAGGGTTAGCAATGCAAGCGAGAACGCTTACAAGTTAAAATCGAATAAAATTGACGTTGAAGATGATAATGAAAACATTCATGAGGTTTACATGGTGGGGACACCAAATATGAATGACAAGTTCATGATTAACGTTTCTATTAAAGGCAAGTCATTGAATATGGAACTTGATACCGGGGCGGCTTTGAGCTCATTATCATACAGTGATTTTCTTAAACTTTAACTTAATAAACGTCTATTCAAGACAGCAGTGGAAATGAAAACATACACTGGAGAAATTATAAGGCCTGTAGGAGTCTGTTTTGTTGAATGCAAGTACAGAAATTTCAGTTTTCATGGGGAACTCTATGTTTTGAAACAAAATGTAGACCCAATATTTGGACGTGAATGGCTCCGAGAAGTCAAGATGGATTGGGCTGATATAAATCTTGCGGATACTAACACATCAGAGGAACTTGATAAACTCCTAACAACTTTTCAGGACATTTTCAAGGCAGAAATCGGTAAAATAAATTCAGAACAAGGACATATACAGCTAAAGGAAGGAGCTAAACCAATTTTTGTTAAACCACGACAAGTACCTTATGCTCTAAGGAAAGCTGTTGAAGATGAGCTACATAGACTAGAGAGCAGTGGTATAATCTCCAAAGTTGAAAACTCGCAATGGGGAACACCAATTGTTCCGGTAACAAAGCCAAATGGAAGTGTAAGGCTCTGCGCTGACTACAAGGTAACAGCCAACAAACTAATATTAGATGAGAAGTACCCTATCCCTCGCATTGAAGACATTTTTACACACATGAATAAAGGGAAATTTTTCTGCACCTTCGACATAAGCAATGCCTATTTGCATCTACCTATGGATGAAGAATCAAGAGAAATACAAACCATAAGTACTCATTTAGGTTTGTTCAAAGTAAATCGCCTAATGTTTGGCATAAAAGTAGCTCCAAGTAATATGGCAACGATTTATGGACAAGGTTCTCCATGGACTAGAAGGAACTGTATGTTTCTTTGACGACATACTCATTCTAGGGAGCACATTCCAAGAAACTATGAGTCGACTAAAAGAGGTTTTTCAAAGAATTAGACAATACAACTTACGATTGAATCGGGACAAATGCAAATTCTTCAAGAAAAGTGTGAAGTATCTAGGCCATGTTATAGACGAGAATGGTCTTCATAAATCACCTGACAATGTTGAAGCTATAAGTAAAGCAAAGAGACCCGAAGATGTTACTCAACTAAGAAGTTTCCTAGGACTCACAAATTACTACACTTGATTTGTGCCTAACATGTCAACCTATCTGGAACCATTAAATAATCTACTAAGACATGGAAAGAAGTTTACATGGAATAAGGAGTGCGAGGATGCCTTTGTGAAGATCAAAGCTGAAATCACCAGTGAACGAATATTAGCTCATTATGATCCGAGCGAAGCATTGGTACTTGCTACAGATGCAAGTCCAACTGGCTTAGGTGCTTGTTTATCTCACAGATACAAAGATGGATCAGAGAAACCAATAGCATTCGCCTCAAGAACTCTCACAAAATCAGAAAGGAAGTACAGCCAAATCGACAAAGAAGCGGTAGGAATTTACTGGGGGTTGAAGAAATTTTTCGCCTATTGTTATGGAAGAAAATTTGTTCTAATAACAGATCACAAACCCCTCGTTTCCATTTTTGATCCTGCAAAAACCTTACCTTCAATGACAGCTTCGAGAATGTTTAACTATACTCACTTTTTATCAGGATTTGATTACACGATTGAATACCGCAATACAACAGAACACGCTAATGCGGACTTTTTATCTCGATTTCCGGTCACTGAGGTACCAGAAAATGTATTTGATGATCACGAGCAGTACCTGATGAACCAAGTGGAAGTAATGCCAGTGACAAGAATAAAGATTGAAGAGGAAACAAGGAAAGATGAAAATCTCAAAGTGATATCATACTATTTAAACACAGGAAAAAGTTTAAAAGAACTGGGATTAAATGACAATGAGTTTTGCTTAATGGATGGCTGTGTGTTCAGAGGGAATAGAATCTGTGTACCTTTAACTTTAAGAAAACAAGTTCTAAACGAGTTGCATGCCGGTCATATGGGCATGACGAAGATGAAACTTCTGGCTAGAAGTTACTGCTATTGGCAAAATATTGATGAGGAAATAGAAAATTTAGTCAAACATTGCTATTCATGCCAACAAAAACTCAAAAGTCCACCTAAGGAAACAGTCCACCCATGGGAACCTCCAAGCGGGCCAAGGGAACGTATTCACGTAGACTTTGCAGGACCAATAAAAGGCTGGAGTTACTTCATTGTTGTCGATGCTTACATTAAATGGGTAGAGGTCATCCCGACTAAATCGGCAACAACTGACTCGTGCCTAAAACAACTAGATAAATTATTTGCAACATTCGGTTTTCCTCATGTCCTTGTTTCAGACAACGGGACTCAGTTAACATCAATTATGTTTGAAAACTACCTCAAAAAGTATCAAATAATACATAAAACAATCGCTCCTTTTTGTCCAAAATCTAATGGTCAAGCAGAAATGTCAGTTCAAACGGTCAAGAATCTCTTACATGCTTGTGGGGGAGGACACAATGAGGATAAGATAAACAAGATACTGAAACAGCTAAGGAAGACACGCCATTCGGCGACAGGACAATCTCCATACTTGCTTATGTTTGGGAGAAACATAAGAACCGAAATGGATTTAATGGTTGAGAGGACACCCACACAGCAAATCAAACGTCAGGTTTTAACTAGAAGAAGTTTCTCAAAAGGACAAATAGTGTTGATGAGAAATTACTCAAACATGTCAGAAGAAAAGTGGTCAACAGGAACAGTAGAAAGGCCGCTTGGGAACGTGATGTATCTTGTTAAATCAGAAGACGGGCGGTTATTTAAGAGGCACTGCGACCAACTAAGAGCAGCTTAATAGGGGGGAGGATTGTCATATGCTTAAATAATCAGATGATTATTGTTGATATTATTGTTATTGTTTACATTTTATCTTTTGTGTTGAATTAGTTCTGGAATAAATCTTCCTAATTAATTTACGTGTATTTTGTATATTTTATGAAGATATATCAATATTATAGGTTTAACAGGTTCACTACTAGCCATTACACTGCTGTGTTTGAATAGATGTTTTTAGGTTTTAAAGTGTAATAGCCATGTTATTATGTCAGGATCAATGGTCCAATTTATTTCAGTTTGGATTGCATAATAAATATTTTACTATTACCTAGGAGCGTGCGAAGCAGCAAACAATTTTCGATTCAAAGCAACAATTCGATTCAAAAGATTTTAGATTTGAATTGATGCAAGTAGATTCGAAGCAATACGGCATTTTTCTATTCATGCTTGTCAATGGAGTGAAATAACAATATGCCAAATAAAATTTACCACATTTGTGTAATGCAATTTTTTGTTGATGTGGTATTAGTCCTATTCATACATATGACATTTAGGTGAATTTTAGGTGAAAAAATATTTATTTTCAATCATATATTAGAAGAACCTGTTTTGCTGGAAATGCCAGTGAACTGCTTTTACTTGCCTATTTCATAATTTTTACTTGCAGAATCATATTGTTCAGCATGTTACCTATTTTATAATATTTATTTTACAAATAAAGATATGTTTTGATGTAAAAAAATAAAAAAAATTGCAAGATTTATACTGTAACTTTTAATTGCTTTACATTGATAACATGAGAGGATAGAATCAGGTCTACAAACTAAAAAAAGTATACATAGCAGACCTACAAAAATACCAAATTTTTCAGTCTAAAAAATATCAATCTTACAATTTAAGTATGAAGTAACAATTTTTCAGACTTGTGTTATTTTTAGAACGATTTTGGAGTGACTTGTTTTGGCTATGTTTACAGGAGTAAAACATGTCTCACACTGCTTACATAAAACTTCTCATCATTTGCAATGTCAAATGAAATCAAATGAATCAAATTGAATCGAATTGGAATTTCGATGCATCACACACCCCTAAATTACCAATATTTTTTGTAACCATAACCATGCAGAGTGAAAAAGTGTTGTATTTGGGTTTTGTTTCTAAAATTCAAAATTTCTGGTCATGACTTTACTTCTGTCACTAACAGAAAGTCACTGGTTACAATCCTCGGTGTGTAGTTGTCCATTATCCACCTTAAATATTTATGTTACGTTTGTTGAATAATTTCCTAGGACAAACTAGAAATAGTGAGAAATGGAGAGTAATGGTGACGTACTCTGTCAGCGGTGAGGTAGCCCACCAGTACAGTGTTGATCTTGTCACTGTTCTCTTCTGTATACACAGTGTCCGGGGCCTCCTTAAGAGCCACCATGAGGGCAGCACTGCGGCCGTGTCTCAGGGTCCAGTCAGCTGACACATCCTCCTCTGTAACAGAAGAAAGAATTTGTTTTCGATACAAACACTGAGACATGGCCTTGCCATATAAATTGTTTGCATCAAGATATGAACACTGAGACTTTGGCTCGATTGTAGGTGTTGCGCCATGGCCCATTTGTACTTACCCCCAACCAAAAAAGGGGGCCTGGGGCGAGCCAAAGGCGAGTCTAAATAACTATACAGCCTGATGTGTAACTCACTCACTCACTGACTGTTACGTACTTATTGAATTAAATAATTATAACACATAATTGTAAGAACTAAAAATAATGTCTTGTTTTTATTCATTTCTCAAACTTAGAATTGAAAATATTACATCAGCTGTAAATAGAAATAAAATTAATTAATGAGTCCAGACTAACAGATATAATAATACTAGCTGACCCGGCGAACTTCGTATCGCCTAAGTTATAGGTTTCCCCTAAGACAGACCGATGGAAAGAAAGTACCGTTACGTTTCATTTTCAAGATGATCTCGTTCGCATCGCTCAATCACGTCCTGGTTGAAGTTCGTTCGCTACGCTCACTCACCTTTGGGTTGGAGCTCGTTCGCTACGCTCACTCACCTTTAGGTTGGAGCTCGTTCGCTGCGCTCACTTGCCTTCAGGTTAGCTCGTTCGCTACGCTAACTCGCCTCCAGGTTGAAGTTCGTTCGCTACGCTCACTCACCTTTTGGTTGCAAATTAGCTGTTGTCAAAAATGTAAAAGAAATAATAGTGCTGCACCCTGATGGTAATCCTTGTAACTTTAATGCTATTGAACATCATAGAACAGAACCAACTTGTTTAATTGAAACAGCTGTTAAGATTCAATAATTCCATTTCTCATAAGGTTAACATGGGAAACTCCAGAGCCAATGGGGCGGAGCCCGAAAGGATTTTTGAAATAAGAATATGCCTATATGTTAATCGGGAATGTGAGCTATCATCATGCCAAATTTCAGCCCAATCCGACCAGTATTTTTCGCGTTCACTTGTCACAAACATACATCCATACATCCAAACTTTCTCATTTATAATATTAGTAGGATATAACAGTTCTCCCCCACTTGACTTCAACGTTAGTTCATCATTCACTTGCAACAACTACATTTCTTAAAATTCCTTATTCTCGAAGATCGTCTTAACTGCAATGGTGGTTGGTTATGAACAGGTGGTTCTACAATATTTTCAATATATGCTGAAGGTTCTTCAATGTTTTGTTGGTTAGCACCTACAGGTGGCTCTGACACTGTGTAATCCATGTTTGATCCAGATGTGGTTATCTCTGAGGAATCCATTGGAGGCTGAGGTAAGATTTGAGGAGAAAAGGGACTTGATGGTACAGGATCCCCTAAAGGTGTGTTCCATGGCAAGACATTTGGAGAGCTACAAACATTTGTTTGACTTGGTATGATTTGGGTTGCTTCTTGGTATCTATGAAAATATCTTGGTGTTTTTGATAACCCACTAGCTTCAACCTGTGTTTTTCTGAGCTGGTTAATATGTCTCTTTATTTTGTTTTGATTGTCTAATAAGATGATATAATGAAGTTTTCCCAAACGTTGTAAAACTGTACCAAATTTCCACTGTGTAGATCCTACATAGTTTCTGGCTTGAACTCTATCTCCTGGATTTAGTAATCTTATTTTGGCAGAATGATCATCAGGTATTTTTCTTGTTATATTTCCCATAGGACGTATGAGATGTAACCTAGTACGTATAGTCCTGTTCATAAATAGTTCTGCAGGCGTTTTACCATTGTTAAGAGGGCTTGAGCGGTACTTAAATAAGAAAAGATTCAGCTTTTCCATCAGACTTCCTGTATCTTCAGTCATTGCTTTGAGTTTTTGTTTCAAGTTTTGTACTGATCGCTCAGTTATCATTGTATAATTACAAAAATATTTTGTAATTATTTTTTTATTTCGTTTGTTGCAGGATGGTTTGGTGCACAGAAACGTTGTATTATCCCGTTATCCTGACAGAATTTAGTGAACTCATCAGACTTGAATATAGAAGCATTGTCAGAAACAATGGTGTAAGGAAGTCCATATCGAGAAAATAGGTCATCCAGTGCATGTATTGTTGTTATTGAGGTAGGGGCTTTTGAGGACATTTTTACTTCCAGCCACTTTGATTTGGCATCTACAACCACGAAGAAATAGTGATTTTTGAAAGGGCCGGCATAATCCATGTGAATCCTTTGCCAGTTTTCTTGAGGTTCTTCCCAAATGTGAGGAGGGGCTTTGACTGGATTGTTTTTTACTTCAGCACAGCTTTTACATGATTTTACCATGCTTTCGATTGCAGCATCTACGCCAGGCCAATAACATAATGATCTAGCAATGCTCTTCATTTTCACTATTCCAATGTGAGATGAATGTAATTCTTTTAGTACTGTTGGTTGAAGTGTTTTAGGTATGTAAACCCTTGACCCTTGCATAATAATACCGGAATGAAGGGTGAATTCTGGATTTTTTATTTCTCCTTCAAGAAGCTTTCTTTTAAGGCTTTGTAATTCATGGTCCCTATTTGTCTCTAATCTGATTGTGTCTGCGGTAATAGCTGAGGTGTCTGTAATCATGTCAAGAGTTGTCTGATTTACCTTGTATGAGTCTTCAAGGAAGTTCACCAACTTTACATCCAGAGGAATTGGATTTCGAGAGAAGTAGTCTGCATTTGTATGTTCTTTTGATGGTCTCTGTTTGATTTCGTAATCGAATGCACTTAAGAATTGGGCGTACCTTAATAATCGATGTGCTGAGATGACTGGCATGGCTTTCCTTGGATTGAATATTTGTTGAAGTGGCTTGTTATCTACAATCAATATAAACTTTCTGCCGTAAAGATACTGGTAAAATCTCTTAATACCCCAATACACAGCAGTGGCTTCTTTGTCAAGTTGACTATAAGCCGTTTCACTTTTAGTTAAGGATCTGGAAGCAAATGCGATGGGTTTTTCTTGACCATTTATGACATGGGACAGTACTGCTGAAAGACCAGTAGGTCCTGCATCCGTAGCTAACGTAACAGGATAGTCCGGATTGATTGGAGTCAACACTCTTTCACTTGTGATTTCTTCTTTGATTTGATTGAAAGCGTTTTCACATTTGTTATTCCATTTGAACTTAACATCTTTCTTTAGAAGCTGAGTTAATGGATGAATTATTGAAGATGCATTTGGAATGAACTTCGCATAGTACAGTGCCAACCCGAGAAATGATCTAACTTCCTCTACATTAGTTGGACGAGGTGCTTTTGTAACAGCTTCTATTTTATTTTGACATTTAGTGACACCTTGACTTGTTATACGATGTCCGAGGTAATTTATTTCAGATTGAAACAATTTGCACTTATTCATGTTTACATGTAAACCATATTTCCTCAACGTCTGGAGACACTTTTCTAGTCTTTGATAGCACTCTTCAAAAGAATGCCCTTGAATAAGAAAGTCGTCAAAATATGCAATAGTTCCATCTAAGTTAGATACTACCTGGTCAATGATTTTGTGAAACTCTTTTGGTGCATTTGTGATACCCATAAAGAGTCGTTTTGCTTTGTAAGTTCCCCATGGAGTGGAAACTGCAGCATAGTTTTGACTTTCTTCTTCTAACTGTACATGTAAATAAGCTTTATGGAGATCTAAAACACAGAAGTATTTTCCTCCATTTAATTTATTTAAAAGATCTTCGATTCTGGGAATAGGATATTGAGTATCTTCTAGTTGAGGGTTTAGTGTAATTTTATAATCTGCACAGATCCTTACAGATTGATCTGGCTTAGGAACAATAACTAGTGGAGTACCCCACGCCGAGTGATCAACTTTATCTAGGACCCCTTGATCAACTAAGGATTGTATTTCTCTTTTAGTTTTGTCTAGCAAGGCATAAGGAATAGGTCTAGGCTTCATAAATATGGGTTTTGCATTTTCTTTCAGTTTTAAAGAACATTTGAAATTTGGAATGACACCTATATTTGATTGAAATACATCTTTGTACTTGTTTAAGAGTTCAGTTTTGATTGATTCGATATTATTCTTGTCTGGGTCCAAACGGTTACCAGTATTTATTAAATTAACCGCTGATACTTGTACGTTTAGTTTTCTAATCCAGTCTCTACCTAATATAGGAGTGTAGTTCCCTTTTACAACATACAAATTACCATGAGTTTTAATCTGTTTGAATGAAATTGGTACCCTTGCTACGCCTATTGGTGAAAAAGATTGATTTGTATATCAGCGAAACCTTACATTTGATGGTTTCAACTCACAATTCAGTTTCAAACTTTGAAAATCAGTTAATGATACTATAGTAACTTGACTGCCAGAATCAATTTCAAATTGTTTTGAGCTTCCACCAACCTTGACTGTGACTACAAAAGGATCGTCTCGAGGTTCACCTAAATTGTAATGAATAGGTACAGTTTTTACCTGATTGCAGTCATATTCAGAATCTACGTCGCTTCTTTCAGATTCTGATTCTTGTACTTGCTTTATTGGCTGCCTTATAAGAGATGAAATGCAGACTTTCTCTATGTGGCCTTGCTTATAACAAGATTTGCAATAAAGGTTCTTGGATCTACAATCTGATGCTTTGTGATTATTCTTCCCACAGCGTAAACACGTATTTTCTAATCCAAGTTCTGTAAGCAGACTTCTTCTCTTGAAGTTTCTAGATGATTGTTGACTTTTTCTAGCTTTATTTCTCATAGAATCGAAACGAGACACAATTTTCGATGATCTGGATTTAGAAATTTGTTTAACATCTGTATCGGTACTGTATAACTTGTTTTGTATTTTAGCAGCTTCAATTGCTAGTGAAATTTCAACTGCTTTTTCAAAACTGATTTCGTTTCCTTGCTGGAGAATCTGTTCCCGAATTTCACTGTCACGAAGTCCACGAATAAATTGGGCTTGCAAAATGCTATTTACTGGTTTCCCACAATCTTTTTCTTGGCAATTCCATTTTGAAGATATAGATAGTTGTTTTAAAACTGTAATGTATTGAGAAA